CGCCCGCCCACCCCCGGGTGCAGTTAGTTGAGGCACAAGGATTGTGTTTGGAGTCACATTGGGCTAGGGGCACGCCTAGAATGCATATATGCAAGAAAAGAATCACGATAGCAACAACACAAAAAACTAACAATAAGTTCACTTACCCATGGGCACAACATTATGGTTTACAGGCTGCACCATGGCCTCTACTGCACTGCCGTCTTGTTTGCTGCATAATGTACCTGTATCAGCATTCTGTTGCAAAAAGCAAGCTTCAGCCGCACCTTTCATCAATGTGTCATTGTCACTAGGTAATACATTTCCAATTGGGGTATGAGCTTCTCCGGTTGTGATGGAAGAGTCTCCAACTTGAAAGCAACATTCTGCAGAATTACCTAGCACATCATTTTCTGCATTATCTGGCAATTTGGATCCTTGTGTTACCTTTTGAATTTTTTCTATTGGATTTTCCAACATGGAATCTGGTGTACTGGTTGCAATAAGAGTCTTGCCTGTATGATCTGAACTCCCCTGAACCTTACGACATAGATGATCCAAAGAATCAGAATCAGTTGACAATCGAGCTCTCAAAACCTGTCCGATTACTGGTAAAGATATTGTTGCCCTAAAGTTTTGCTTTGTTGGAGGAGGACCCCCAGCAATTGTCAAATTTAAATTTGCTGGTCTGTCATTCAATGAGGTGGTACCAGTTTTAGCCATATTCACCAAGCATTCCATATTTCTGTTACTTGAATTATGTTCATCTTCCATATGATGAACAGCATCACTTTCACCATTGACTTCTGAATATCCAACTAATCTGAGAAACTCTACAGGCCATGGAAGTTTAGAGAAAGCCCACAATCCAACGGTTGCTGCACAAAGCCTGCAATCTAAAACTGCAGAATTGGGATCGCACTGTACTCGAGCAGATACCATGGGGTTGTTAGTTGTCTCCATAATCTCATCGGTACCAGAAGAGTAAATATTCAAGCTAACATTCTTCCCATTAGAATTGTCAAGAGATAACTCCGAAGGATTGACATTGTTAGTAGACTGATCTTGCAGGTCCTTGAGGTCAACAATGTAAGGTAGTGAACGAGGCTCCCAACCACATAAACTAATAAGCTTTTGTGCCTGCAAATGCATCAAACAACCCTGCCTTTCATAAAAAAAACATGATAAAACCGGAAATTATCACTGACATTTGAAACCAGCAAATCTAACAGAAACAAGAATACAGGCTAGATGGAAATTATTGCTGATATAGGTCACAATGCATAACCAAAATGTGTTTTCAGAAAAGGAGATAAAAGAATGACGACAGAGAGAAGTCATGATGCCCTCAGTCCCATACATGGCAGACAGCAATCAACAAATAAATGGAAACACTCTGAAACTCCTCATTTTCTTCATTGTCAGTATTTTGTGCAAGGTTAGGCAGAAACACTTAGAAAACCACATAAAGACAGCACCAGGCTGGCTTTTCCCTATTCTTAAGATGGAAGGAATGATCTTATAGGTGACCGACATTTTAGATCACCGCTCTTGATAGGTAAGTTGGACGCTAATAAGTACAAACAAACAAGGGAGACTGCAGAACTCTGTGACCCCATGGTAGGACTACTCCATAACACAAACATAACACCACAAAACATGATATTTGATTGAGTTGCAGTATTGCATTGACTGAAGATAATATGCCAGTCCTAGTTATTTCATGCACACATAATATATGTGGTCAAAATAATAAAGGGATCAAAATCTGTGTAACGTTTTTACTTCTTGCTACCATACAATTGGCACACCTGATAATACAAGATGGAAGAAGCCTCTTCAAATTCATTTCCCTCAATTCTAGAAACGTCAACAGACTTGTTCCCATACTCCAAGGTTGAAGATACTCCGAGGAAGTTTTCCAGCAGAGGGCTTCTCATGTAATCAATGGCTGAGGATGAAATCATTGGAAGAGCAAAAAGCTGCAATAGCGCAGAACATCGTCTCTGGTAATTCTCTACCAAATCAGCAGATTGTGTAGGTGGAAACTGCGCTAGTGTCTCATCACAGGCATTGTCAACCCACGGGCAAAGTAGCTTGTGTCCATTATCCAGCTTTAAGCTGAACACCAATGCTGCTTTTTCAACTGGATAGCACGTAAGTTCCAGTTCAGATAAAGAATAAAAATGAAATATCATCAAATAAATGCTAATATGGTGCACCTTTTATTTATTTATCCAGTAAACCATTAAAAAGAGGAGGAACACTGCATGGGTAACAAAGATGGGGGAAAGAAGCATGACATGCCTTGTTGCTGTGTCCAAGAAGATGGAGTAGAAAAGAGGAGACGCGCCCCACATGCTTCACAAGCAATGATATCCATCTCAACATTAATCCATCCTCTCCTAGCACAATTTACTGCACTCACTACCTGGTAAAGATGGACAAAACATTATGTTCCCAGTCGAGAGAAAAGGAGTCCAAATAACAACCAAACTGATATATAATATAAACTAACTAAACAGTATGCACCCTCTTTGTAACGTGAGAAGGATGGGAAGATTATGCAGAATCCTTTCCAATTAGCAGACACTGACTGAACTACAACAAATTACTATATGTATAATATAGCAACATAAATATAAGAAGAATAACGCGGACTTCCATGAGAAATAATCCATTCTAGGCAGATAAATAGATAAGAATACTAGCATGACAAAACAGTAATAAATTTTCAAGTTCAGAGAATAGTACCACGTGAAAACACTCTTTCTGGAATTGCGGTAATAAACTGTCAATAACTCATAAGCTTGAAAACACTCTTTCTGGAATTGCGTTAATAAACTGTCAATAACTCATAAGCTTGAGCATTTTCAAAATAAAAAAGATATACTTAGAGAGAAAACCCTTGGAGAATACCATAATCATTTCTAAATATGCGATAGTGCATCACCCAAGATTAAACCATTTTAATAGAATGGCTTAGATCAACTTCATATTCAATTGCATTTAAAAGATTACCATTTCATACCTAATTACCTATACTGTAACATTTGAGATGGGAAAATGAATATATGTCCTGCCAAATTATTATTTTTAGTACTTCAACTACACATTTTGCTCATTCTCTTATTTTTCTAAAAATTATTGTTTATGAGTTTGATAAAGGAGTTCAAATCAAATTCAGATGCTACATCTGCAGTTTTAAACTTTAAATTCGATTACCAACGGCCCTTTGGTCCAATTGTACTCTTTGCCTTGTAAAAACTTTGCATTCTTCATGTTTCAAAAAAAAAAAATCGATTAAAGGTTTCTAGATCTCGTAAAAGATGTTTGTTCTCTCTCTCTCTCTCTCTCCCCCCTATTATCTTTGTCTCCTCTCTTTTTCACTATCATTTTATTTCACTTTTCTCTACCTCCAGACGTGTTGTGGTTTCGTCAAGAGTTTCCTCCTCCTAATCATGATGAAATGGAGTTTGTGGTTATACCCATCCAGTGCAATAGCAACATATGTTAATAGAGTGCTTCTGCCACAAGACCAATTTTCCCTTCATCTTTTGTTTCTATTTGTCTTTTAGTCAATTTAAGCTTTCTTCTTTTTTCTTCTTTGACTATAATTTTTCGAGGACTTCTTGTCCTCTCATATACTCTTTTTATCAGTTTTTATGATATTCTCGTTTCTTATCAAAAAATAGAGTCTTACAAAAGAAGTCTTTTTGAAATTAGGTTAATGTACTTTTAGTTTTAAAGCAAATACAAGTGTCAATAAATTTTTTTAATGCCTCATAAGTTATCATTATAAATTAGGGGCCATTTTGGGGATTCCCACTATTTTAAGGGTTTTGTACATACTAGTTGATGCCCACGTGCGTTGCATGTGAATATTTTGAACTAATAATTTTAGTTCAATTCTTGTTATATGCACTTGTAGGTTTATTTGTTCGAGATATTGATATGAAACTGTGGGTACAAATAACCCTTGATATAAACTATTCACACTAAAGTCCACAACGACTCACTATAACAACACTAACCAACTATAACACTTTTTCTTTTGTTGAATCCACGTCATCAATGTTCAGTGACTTAGTACCATGTCATATACAATACCTAAGCCATTTTAAAACGACTTATAGGTCATTACTTGTGTAACTCAAACTTGAAGTAGTGCCGATCTATGAAACATGGATATTTCGTCCAGGTTGACGTCCCCGTATCGGATACGATACTCGTTGGATACTTGATGATACGTATCGGATACGCATCATCCATATCTGATAATTAATAAAATATGGGAATACTTCGCGGATACTTCTAAACATGGAGTAAGATGTACAATTTTCAATTATAAGCTATACCCCTTCTTTGGAGTTCACATACAATATAAAATATCAACAAAATTTCATTTAATTTTAAAAACACGAGTATTTTTTAAGTATTATCTATTATTAAATGTTAAGAGAGTATAAAAAAACTGAGTCACTTACACTATACTTTTAAAAATAAATACTTGTAAAACCAATTAGTTAAATGTGGTTATGATTCTTTCAATTGGTCATGCTCATTTTATGAACATATCATAATGAGACAATATTACATCCTTTTCATGGTAAAAATTCATAATTTTACTTACTAATGTTAAAAAATTATAATTTCTAAGTCGTTAAATAATAGTAAAATATAAAATATATTTTATTATAGATGTATTCTAGCCGTACCCATATCTTTTTTTTTTTTTAAGTTTTGCCGTATCACTGTATCCGTATCGTATCGTATCGTACCCGTGTCACGTATTCGTATCCGTATCCGTATCCGTACTTCCTAGGTGCCTATGATGATACCAATTGATATGAACCTATGAGTAAAATCACCACCAAAAATCAACTTACAAGGGAAAGATCTCTAAGAGTTCTTATAAAAATATCTAAGTTCATGCTTAACAGATGTGAAATAGTAAAATTATAATTTTTACTAAAATTTTCACATATATAAAATTGTACAATGAATAGTTTCACTTTATAAAATTGGAACTTATAATTAATTCAATGACTGCATTGAAATAGGTCTCTAATTTGCTCAAGTATACTTTGAGTTCGGCGAATCCGAGATTAATAGAAAGACAAACTAAATTGTCTATAACTTCTTGTCACTTATATTATGCCATAAATGTGTACATGCTCAACGGCCTGCTTTGATTAATGTCATAATTTTTCATACATTAATAGATAAACCAAGGGGCATACATTATTTCTTACCCCAGCGACATCTTTTGTACTATAAATACGTAGATTGTAATAGATTTTGACAGGTTCCTACAAGAAGAAATAGATTTTTACAATGCTTTTGTACCTCTTAAATTCATATTGAATAAGCATCAAATACCCATTGTCTTTTCCTTTTGTTTTTCTATTCTTTATCGATATGTAATATGCTATAATGATATCCGAGTACAATCAACAAATATTGACAAAATAAGAGCATATAAAAGGATGTGAAATCAAAATCCGTCAAGTTTCCTTGCCCCGGTCATTATTGGGTCAAACATGGCATACAACAATAGTGCAAATACACAATCTCTCTTTGACTTGAGAGAGAACTTCATGAAACACTATAAAGCTTTTTCTAAAAATCTCTCTTTCTACACTTAATGTGGAAATGTCTTAAATTTGCAACCTATGCATTGATTGTAAATGTAGTATTGATTCACAGAACTCTAAAGTTATCTTAATCACTGGGTAAGGGATCACATGAGTTTAAAATTGCTAGTCTAGATATGTGAGAGCAGCCCAACAGTCTAATAACAATCATAATTATAAACNCACTTGGGTAATTAATTTTGCACACAGTATCAATACATTAAACTTACCCCCCCCAAAAAAAGATCCACAAAGCATAAACAACCCAATTCCATCAAACAAATACAAGGTAACATCTTAAGTTCTTAACATTTGAAAACATAAAAGACAAACTGTCAAAGCAACTAAACATTAAATCCACGCTTCACACGTCCGAAGGAGTTAAAAATCATCCTCCTCACCAAGCAAATCATCTTCATCACGATTAGATTTATTTCCCTCCACATCTTTCACCTGTGGCTCATCTATGCCTGCCTCTTCCTAGTAAGTGTAGTTGATGATACTGAAACCCTTGGTGCTGCCCTAGGGGTTATCGTCGATCTAGGTAACAAGCTACTTTCTCCATGTCCAGAAGCTCAAGCAACCTCAACCCCACATCAAAGATTAGAGTTTTTCCAACATCAATTAAATAACACCTCCCAAAGTAGTATATGAATTTTGTGAGCCTCTTCAATCATCACCATTTGGTTTTGAGTTGGACATCTTAACATCGTCTTAGAGCTAATGCTTGGGGAGGGTTTGGGCAAGACTTGATTTTTTTGATTTGATAATTTCCACCTGTTTGTGCCATATGTTTACTTGTTATATCTATGAATTTTTCCTCTAATTCTTCTGCTTCTCTCTCCATGTATGAACGGATGATGCACAAGTGTGAAGAGTGTGAAAGCTTGTCTCATATCGATATATAATGCCTCACAAACTTGAATATGAACCTTGCGGGCCTCACTCATGGTTAATTGATTTTGAGTTAGATGCTTGACCAAAAGAACTATCATCAAACACAAGCTCATAATCTTCATCTGATTCTACATCCATCCCCAAAAAGACCACTCATTGTTTTTATCAACATTCTTCAAAGAGATGGGATCCGTTTTGTCACACGAAGCACAGCGATGTCACAAAGCTAGGGCAAACGTATTTATAACTACCCTAAAATATATCAAGATATGGGGCGGGGGGACACAAGCACCTCTGCGCCCGAGGTACACCTCAACGATATTCCCTCCCCC